AAAACTTGATTAATGAGTTAAGTACACTTATTTCTTTTATAATTAATATTAACAAAATATGTATTTGTTAAGTTAAAAAACGATATATTTTTGTATTGAATTGTCTTTTTTTTTTTTCTTTTATTGGAACGTTAAATCCAACCTACTCTTACTAAAATGGTATTTTCATATTTATTTTTGCTAAAATTCCCCTTATTTTCTCCATGTCTTCCGCAAACTAAGAATATATTTTTATTCTGTTTCAGTATTTTTTTTTTTTTTAAGATAACATTCATTTATATAGTCGCTCTAAAAAAATTTAAAAACAAATAAATAAAACCAACTTACATATGACATCCTAGCATCATATGATTTTTAAACATACAATATAAAAAACTTGATTAACGAGTTAATGGGTTGTTTGATAGGATCATAATATTTAAAAACTGAATTTTTAACCTTATGAATTTATAAGAGGATCCGAATTTTTAAGATCTGAATATTCAAATGTTGTTTGGTTGGAAGCTCTGAATTGCAGTGTTGAATTATAAAAATGACCATTTTACCATTTTGTGTTATTTTTGTTGAATTTAACGTTGTTTTATAAAATAACTGAATCAACTTCTTGAATAATTATAAAAAAAATTACAAGGACCATAGAAAATTCAGATTAAACATAAATCAAAATCAAACATAACACTATCATTTTTTTTATTATACCCAAAGCTCATGCTTTCATTGCTTTGTGAAATCTTTTAAAACCATCACCATCCATAACAAATCTAATGTTAATGAACTCCCTAAGCTTGTGGATATGAAATCTTCTCCACTAATAGACACCACTTGTTCAAGATATAACATCATACTTTCATTTAGTGAATCCATAACATGCTAGTATTCATATTTCATCAAGCAAACATTATCAAGTTACAAAGATTAACAACAGATGTCAATAACAATTCAGCACATAAGAACAAGATTGGCAACATATTTTAGCAAATGAAAAAAATCAACAACTTCTATTAGCAACTAGGAACACATTTTCATTAATAATGAAAAAAAAAAAAAGAAGAAGAACAAATCAGCAACTAATAACACATTCTTAGCAATATATTTCACCAAATAAACACAAAATCAGAAATTAACCCATATATTTTCGAAGTCAACACATTATCATGAATCAAAACTAAACTGTTGTGTACAAATTTATCCATGTATGACTTTGTAAATGGTTTGACTTTTGTAGACCCACTTACATGTAGTAAAGTAGCCTTGTGACATGATATATGTATATATATATATATATATATATATATATATATATATATATATATATATATATATATATGATATAGATCTGGTAAGAATTTTTTTTTAGTAGGAAGGTAAGAAGTTTTTTTTCTACATATTTTTTTGACGAACAAAATAAATGAATCACTAGATAATTCATTTGTAAGATGATTCACAAGAAAAAATTCGCAAAAAAATATTTTTATGATTCATTTTTAAGTAAATTAAGAAAAAATTCATTTTTATGATAATTTTAGTGAATAACAACAAAATCATTGTATAAATGAATCATCGATATGTTTTTTTGAGAATTTTTTCTTGTAAATCATCTTACACATGAATCATCTAATGATTCATTTTGTTTGTTCGCGAAAAAAATATATAGAAAAAAAACTTCTTACCTTCCTACCAAAAATTTCCTTCTTATTTGATCTTGACTCTCTCTCTCTCTCTCTCTCTCTCTATATATATATATATATATATATATATATATATATATATATATATATATATATATATATATATATATATATATAAAGAGAGAGAGAGAGAGAGAGTGTGTGTGTGTGTGTGTGATAGAAAGAGAGTGTAGGAGAGAGATGCAAACACCTTTATATAAGGGGATTCATATCACATGTAGATGTGTGCTTGAGAGATGTAACATTGAGAGTGTTAGTGTGTGTTAATTATGTAGATTTAGATCTAGATCCTTTTTTTGTAAATACCTTTCATAATCAAATGCATCTCTTAAACACCCAAATCACAATGTTTTTGTATGTTCTTTAATTTCGTACGCCAAACCAATGTTTATAATTCACTACAATTGGTATCAAAGGGGTTTCGAAGACAACATGATTTTTTGAAGAAATGGTTCTCGGTTTGGCTACAATCATCACAATTGGAACATTTATGATGTGTCTCTAGATGATCTCTCTAAATCTCTTTCATTCGTGCGTTGCGTTCTTGAATTTTTGATCATTTTGACTCATTGGACCAATTTTTTTTAAAAGCCCACTTGTTATGATCGAATAATTTTTTCATTGATTAAGTCCCGATCCAATCCTATTCTTTTGATTGATTCGATTCTAAGTTTAGAATTATTGTTCTGAATCAAAATTAAGCTTAAAGAAAATACATTTTATCTATGATTTGATTTTATGGGTTCGTTATTTTTCATCAAGCATGATTTAGCCCACAATTCATTTTTGTAATCCAATTTTCGAATCTTTACTATTCACAAATCAATTTTGAGCCCAAACTTGTTTTCAATCCAATAAAATGAATTTATGAGCCCAATGATTTGTACAATCCAGTCGATACTTTATCTTTGTTTAGACATCGTTTGTCATACACATTTCAAGTTCTACAAGATGTTCACATCGCTTATTGTTTCCGATTTTTGTATTTCGTTTTCATCTCGTCGTTTCTAACAATTGTTTGTTGATTGATTGTTAATCTGAAATTGGGAATCAATTTCATATGATTGGTGTATGATGAAATTAATTTTATTCAAGTCAAAACTAAGATTTCGACAGTTTATTTTTTGATTTTTAAAGATTTTGATCAAGAACACTTGAAGGAGGTTTAAAACAGTCGTTTAAACACGTTTTGATCTGGAATTTAGTGAAGGAATCTTCAATTTCGTATTTATTAGTCTTTGATTTCGAAAAGTCAAATCCAACATAAAAATCAAACTCAATTTTTATGAGGTGAATCAGTGAATTGGTAGAAAAAATTGGTTTATACAAGTTGTTTTGAGGTTGAAAGAGTCGAAATCTAGTCTCATTTGAGTTTAATTTCGAACTTGAATGTGTTGTGTTATTGATGACGAAGATTATGAAGTACGACACTTTTAAGTTGAGTTGGAAATCAATGACTGATTTTGATTATTGGAGTGGTTTCAAAGGGTATGTTGAAATCGATATCTTGGGTTGATGTGCGAATGATTACTGTATTGTCGATGATTTGCATAATGTCGACAATTGATGACAAACAAGAAGGGAAGGTGTCGATATGATGTTAAGTCCAAATTTGTTAAAGGTCGAATAATTGAAAACATACAGTGTTGGATTGTTCGTTATCTTGGTGTCGAAGATTTCAAAAGGATCTATATCAAGGGTCGATGTTGATTGTTGATTTGCAGTCGACGAGTCAATGATTTGTAAAAGCGAAGTACGAATTAAGATTAACGATTTTGAATGTATGGTATCGAACAGATGGTGTATTGGAATCGACACTTGATGCTTCGAAATTGGATGGTTTAGAATCGAGGATTGAAAACTAAAAGCGGATATGGGTTGATTATAAATTCTATTTTGAGGCATTGATTACGAAGGGTTATGTTCGTGACTGGGATAACGAGTTAGGAAATCGACAGTCAAAGATTTTTAGTCGATGGTCAACTGGTAACAAATTGAAGAAGAAAAGGCATAGTTTCGTTGGTCCTTAAAATTTTGACGGATTGGGATAAAATAAACATTAATTTCATTACGAGCCCTTGCACTTTTGTTGAAACTTACAGTTTATACCCATATTCGACATTGGGGTATAATTTCGACATTTTGAAGAATTGTGCAGAAGTTTTGAAGTTGGTTCCTGAAGTTTTGAAGATTTCACACAGTTTATCAAAACTTCGCAATTTGGCTAAAAAATTTGAGAAATTGGTATATTTTCAAATCAAGCCCCTGTAGTTAATGCGAATTGACGTTTTCTAACTAGTTTCGAAAATGAGGGAGCATTTTGCATTTTTGGCTGTTTTGGGCGCACTGGGTCACTATAGAATTTTGAAATTGACAATTTTCACCCAAATTTGTGAAATTTTGTCAAAGGCGATCCGTGAATGTAGCTAAAAATTGAAGATTTTTTTGAATTTTCCGGATTGAAGCAAAAATGTTTATGTCATGTGTTAAGGGAGAGTTTTATATAGAAAAATTCCGAATTGAGTGCTTTCTCATTCCCTTTCTAGTTTTATAATCGTTTTTTTATTATAAAATGGAGAGAGATTTAGATATGCAAATTCGAAAGTCGAATTTTTCATATTACGCGGACTTGAAGACCGAAGTGACATTGAGTATTCGAATTTTATGAAATGATTCGATTGGAGATTCAGAAGTGGTTTCAGTTCATGATGGGTTTGGACTTACTGAAGATTTTTGGAGTGTACTTTTATGCTCAAACTTGGGTAACTTTTTTGGAGATTGATAAACTCCTAATTACCTTTTGATGCTCAGTTCATATGGTCTCACATTCGAATCTCCAAATTGAAAAATCATGGAAGAATCGAAGATTTGATGTTCATCTCTACATGTGTCATGTTTGAGGCTCGATTCGTGAAGTTACTCAAGTGTGGAAGATTTGAAGCGGGTCATCTATTCCGAACATTGAGGGGGAGGATGTTGGGTACAAAGTTATCTATGTATGACTTTGTAAATGGTTTGAATTTTGTAGACTCACTTGAATGTGGTAAAGTAGCCTTGGGACATGAGAGAGAGAGAGACATGCAAACACCTCTATATAAAGTGGGTTTATACCACATGTAGAGATGTGCTTGAGAGATGTAACATTACCTTCAAAAGATGCCTGATTTCAGAAAAAAGAAAAAAAAAAGGAAAAGGAAAACGACTTTGATTTTCAGGAAAAAAAAACAACGATTTTATGATTCTCGGGTTACAGGGGAAACATACTCGATTTTTAATAACTAAACGTGAATTACATAACAAGAGAAAAATAAAATGTTACCTACAGAAGAAGTTGGAGGCGAACGCGGCACAGGCGAAGACGAAGACATCGGCGACGTTGTAGATCAAACGAACGCAGGCAAAATCAGACCTAGAGGAGAAAATGGCGGAAGAGAATTGGAGTCTATAAGGGAGCCAGAGAGCTTCAATGCCGGTGACGATGGCGAGACGATGTTTTTGGTAGAGGGGATGATGGGAGGGGATTACCGGAGAGGATGGTGGAGGGTTGCAATCGGAGTTTCAGTGGGAAGCGACATTTGTGAAGAAAAAAGAGTAAAGGGAAGGAGATGAAGTATTCAGGCAAAAAAAGGAAAGAGGGTTCTTTTTATTTTTTTCAGACATACCATTAAATCTGAAAGTTTAAGAGGCATAAAATCATATGCAACCAATGAGTCTACATCTGAAAATAAGAGCTTGCCTCTTAAATTTTCAATTAAGAGACTATCAAACATAGCCTAAGTTATATATAATTATTTCTTTTATAATTAATATATATATATATATATATATATATATATATATATATATATATATATATATATATATATATATATATATTAAAAATATGAAAGTTAGGTATAGCAAGATTGGTCCCTAAGGTTATCAATGTTTGCCCCTCTTTTTTTGTCAAATTTTTTTTGTCATTTTTGGTCCTCCGTTGGTTTTGAAAAACTATTTACAACATTGACCCTTCACCTTTATGCTTTTGTTCACAAACAATTCTTTCACTTTCGTTTGAATTTTTCATAACCCTCGCATCTTGTTACATATTATTAGTATTTAATCTTTTGGTAAAAATGGTCCTTTATTATTATTATTATTATTATTATTATTATTATTATTATTATTATTATTACTATTACTATTACTATTACTATTACTATTGTTATTGTTATTGTTATTGTTATTGTTATTGTTATTATTATTATTATTATTATTATTATTATTATTATTATTATTATTATTATTATTATTATTGTTGTTGTTGTTATTATTGTTGTTATTATTGTTATTGTTATTGTTGTTATTATTATTATTATTATTATTATTATTATTATTATTATTATTATTATTATTATTATTATTATTCTTATTATTATTATTCTTATTATTATTATTCTTATTATTATTATTATTATTATTATTATTATTATTATTATTACTATTACTATTACTATTACTATTACTATTACTATTACTATTATTAGACAAAATTACACGATTGGTCCTCGTGGTTTACCAGATTTAACACATTGAGGACAATGATGGAGACCGAAATCACTCTTTTAGTCCTAATCCTAATTTTTTTTTATTAATTTATATTTCTCTTTTTGGTTTTAAATTAATGTTTTATTTATTAGAAAATACTCACTCAATACCATAAAACCACCCACCAGCTGCCATCACCACCACCACCACCGCCAAAATTACATAAATGGTCCATATGATTTACCCGTCGTCACAATTTCAGTCCCTACTACTTTAAAAGACCAAATGACCCTCACATTAACGGACAAAAAATAACTGTCTATATTTTCCGGATTAGTTTTCCAGTTGCTGCCATACATGACAATAAAGTTCAATTTGTGAGACCATTTCTTTATTTTCATCATTTATTGCAAGAAATAATAATTTAAATTTCTTTACTTATGTAATTAGATGACATTGTTTATCTTCCTTTACTAAATTATCTCAATGTTGAATTAACATGTTATTTTACTTTACAAAGCAATACCTTCCGATCCAGACAACACCGGAGAATCTTTTCTAGTTAATATTAATAAAATATGTATTGGTTAAGTTAAAAAGCGATATCTTTTTATATTAAATGATCTTTTTTTTATGAATGGTAAATTTAATCTATTCTTACTAAAATGGTCTTTTTCATATTTATTTTTGCTAGATTCCCCTCCATTTTCTCCATATCTTCCACAAAATAAGAATAATTATTTTAATTGAGTTTCAGTATTTTTTTAATTTTTGAGATAACATCCATTTATATAGAGGCTCTAAAAAAATTAACAAAAAAATAAATAAAACCAACTTACATATGACATCCTAGCATCATATGATTTTTAAATATTATAACAAAACTTATTTACCTAAAAAAACAAATTTTATTTCTAATAAAGATAAAAATAAAATATATCAAGTTTTGTAATTTTTTCTTTACAAATAAAGACAAATAGTCATGTTTTATAACTTATTTATAAATTCTTTAAAAAGTAATAACAGTTAAGTTTTGTTTTTATTTAAATTAAAAATATGTATCTTTTGTATTAAAAATAATATAAAATGTTATATGGTATTTTATTTTCAATTTAAGTTACTAATCATTATATATGTTTTTTAACAATTTTTTTTAAATACCAATATGATAATGTATGATTTTAAATTAGAATCACATACTCTAATAAATGAAGGTTTTTTTTTTGTTACATGTCACATTCTCATTCAATTTATTAAATGTTATTTTTTTGTTATTTTAAATTAACTTTTTTTTCTACATGTCATTTTATGAGTTTTCTTATTTTATTAAATTCAGTATAATATTTTAATATAATAATTACAATAAATATAATAATAAATAAATATAACAATTTCATTAATGGTTTTTTAAATGGCAATATAAATATATAGAAGAGGAAAAGAACAAGCAGCCACGGTTAGCAAAGTACAAGTAAGGGTAATGAAGCAAAAACAAAAAACAGTTACATGATAGAATTTATAAGATGAGAAAAATGAGAGCAACACCACTCTGTCCAACTGTCGCAACCCGCCTTGCTCCTGTGTTTGCACCATAGATATGATAAAGATATAACATTGTCAGCTACTTTTGTGGATGAAAGTCTTAAATCCTTGTAAATTCTCTCATTCCTTATGGTCCAGACATTCCACCAAAGACAATATAAAATTGAAATGAAGATTTCTCTTTTTCTTGGACAATTACCCCACGAGGTTGCAAACTTGATGACTTCACGAGGTGAAGTAAGCTGTTGAGTTTTAACCCCACACCATTTAAGCACCCATTCATAGACTTCTTTAGTGAAGTCATAGTCTAGCAGAAGATGATCGACAATTTTCGGTGCTTGACTGCATAGATGACATGTAAGGTTAAGGATCTGAACACCTCTTTCTGATAACTCAGAAGCCACTGGGATTCTAGACAAGGAGGCTTGCCATATAATACAACAAACTTTTAATGGAACCGTATTGGGCCAAGGCACCTTAGTACCTTTGTACGAGACAAGTTTGGAATCGATAGTCCTCCTCATTTTGTTGACACTATATCGACCATCTGGGGTTGACAAAACGAAACCCGATTGAGAACTGGGATGACACTTCCATTGAACCGATGGATGAGTATAGATTTAACAGCTCTGTTAGTACAATAGAGTCATTTGGTTCATTTTTCCACATCCAACTAAAGCCAGATGTTGAGAGACGATCTTCAAGGTAACAACATTTAACCTTTTATAGATTATATAAGTTTGGAAATCGGGCCTGAAATGGAAGATTACCACACCAACTATCTTTCCAAAATAGGATATTCACCCGATACCCCGTAATGAGTTTGAAAAACTCGTTGCAGTCAAGGTTGAGTTCATGAATGTGTGTGATCACTGTGTGGATGTTACGCCAAACATCAGTGGATGATTTCCTTGCAATGTAAGTTGCTGGTTTTCTTTGAAGATTATGAATACTTACAATTACTTCCCTCCATAAATTGCCTTCTTCATTCAATAGCCTCCACCACCATTGGTGATAAGGGCTATATTTTGAGCTTTTAAAGTGCCTACACCAAGGCCTCCATCTTTTTTAGACGCTGTTATTTTGGACCAATTAAACCAATGAATCTTTGACTTGCCATCATCTCCGCCCCAAAGGAATTTTCGTCTTATTTTTTCGAGGGTGTCGATTATGCCATGTGGTGCTTTGAACAATAACATGTCATAAGTTGGGAGGCTAGATAGAACAGATTTTACTAGAGTTAGGCTCCCACCAAATGATAAAGCTTTAGCTTTCTAGATTGATAATTTAGATCGGAATTTATTGATAATTGTCTGCCAATGTTTTTTTAGAGCCCTGTTTGCCCCCACAGGGACTCCCAAATAAGTAAATGGGAAAGAACCTTCGATGCAGCCTAGAACCAATGACATACGTGTGATATCCTGGTCGGATATACCGATTCCAAATAAGCAAGATTTGAGAAAATTCACCTTAAGGCCCGAAGAGATGTGGAAACATTTGAGGATGCGAGATAGATTTTTTATGCTTTCGTTGTACCATTCTCCCACGAAGATGGCATCGTCGGCATAGAATAAGTGCGAGATCATGGGTCCACCGTTGGGTAATTTAATACCCCCGAATTAACGCATTATTGCTTTCACTTTTTACAGCCACATTCAAGCCTTGCATCGCTAGAATGAACAAGAATGGAGACAAGGTATCTCCCTGTCGAACACCTCTTGAAGTGGGGAACTCCTCTGTTGGTGATCCGTTAACTAACACAGATGTCATCGACGAAGCTAAACAACATCGAATCCATTTACTCCAACTGACTCCAAAACCCATCTGGAACATAATAGTGTCAAGGTAGTTCCAATTTAAATAGTTAAATGCTTTTTCAAAATCAATTTTGAATAGAAAAATCTCCCTTTTGTATTGTTTAGCCCAAGAGAAGAGTTTATTGATGACTAAAGGCCCATCTAGAATATTTCGTCCAGGGGCGAACGCGGATTGAGTTTCACTAACAACCGAACTGATAACAGATTTCAACCTCAATGCAAGGATCTTAGTTACAATCTTGTACATGCAACCTATAAGGCTGATTGGCCTATAGTATGAGAGTGTGAGGGGGTCGGTCACCTTTGGAATCAGTGTAATAAAAGCCGAGTTACAACCTGAAGCCAGAGAAGCATGATGTTCGAAATGTCAACAAAACTAACGATATCACCACTCATTAGATCCCAATTGTCTTTTATAATCTTGAAAGTCAAACCGTGAGGTCCGGAAGCTTTATCATTACCACAACACCAAACTGCATTTTTGATTTCATCTGGTAAGATGGCAAGTTCTAATGAGCGTTGTTGTTGCAAAGATAGTTGTTTGAAAAGCGGGTTGATAAGTGATGGGCGGGAGGGCCATCTTTCTTTAAATTTATCGGAGAAGAACTGGAAAGCCTCATGTTTGATTAATTTGGGGTCGTTTGTCCAGGAACCGTTAACAATTAGGTCATGAATTTTGTCTTTCATGTTTGAGTTTTTTAAGGATCCATGGAAAATCTAGAG